TGGCTGTGGTTTTAAATGGTAGTCCTGCATTTCGAACAGTTGAGACCGTCTTCTTTAAGTCGTCGTTCTTACACAAGCTGGCCGAGGACTAGGGTTGTCCTCGAGCATGTGCGACTGAGCCCCCGGTGTCGTCTCGCTCGCGTCCGCACCGTCGCTGCAGCCAGAACGGAGTGGGGCAGGGGGGCGCACTGGATGCTTTGGCGCTCCGTTACGCGAGCCTGCTGCCCCCCGACCACGAGTGGATTATACGCCGAGGTCTGTACACAGCGCCTGCGGCGAGGTACTTCAGTATGGAGCATGTGGTTTGCTCGGCTGCAGCTCTGCGTGCTGGTCGTGAAAAGCCCAGTAGCTGAGGTATGAACGACTCCGTTTTGTCACGGTACTCGCACCATAATTATGACCGGCATTAGTTACGCATCTTTGGTGGCAGATACGTAACGTTGCAAGCTAATTTTATTAGCAAGCAAATGAAAGAATGTTTTCACCATGGCTTATTTAACAATGGCCCGTTTTCTCTCTGCAGCTGATGAAGGCGATCCACGACAAAGCCTTCAGTGCGCCTGAACCGTCGTTGATACCGCTAGGGTTCATTCTGCAAGAGCCGGGACAGGCTGAGCCGCCGGTTAACGACAATGTCTACTTTAATCAACTGTACAGGTCAGTTGGAAAACAGTTTGATCTCGGCTTGAGTGCTATCCTACATCCGTTCTGCTCTTTCGGGGCGTGGCAAGTGCCTTGTTGCTTGTACTCGAATAGAAAAATATTCAACTGGACCGTAAGGTGTTCCGTTAAGGCTCTCACTACTGGGTTCTGTCGAAGCCCCGGGTCTACGCTTTCAAAAATAAGCAACTTTATGCTTGTGGCCAATGAGGCATATCACAATTTCCTCTTGGACTTTGTGCAAACGCTGCTTTAAACCACACAATCGGCACCGACGCCCGGGGGTCATTGTCCCCAACCCCTCTCGTCTCCCCTACCCCCCCCCCCCCCTCCTTCGCCAACGCGCATGACCAGTCGTATCTTATGTGATCGCAGGGCTAAACAGAATCCGCACCACGTGATCACGGTGTCGCACACGCGCGGGGAGATCGCCGTGTGGAACATCTACACCATGCAGGCGGTGCGCACGCTCAAGGGCATCCACCAGCCGCAGAGTCTCAAAATGATCGACGAGTACCGGTGCCTGGTACGGATACTGCGTGCTGTCTGTCGGTGGTGTTGACGTCGCGTTCGAGCCTGTCGGCGATATGAATGAGGCGCCCGCAGCTTAAATGCATAAATAACCAGCGACCAGTTTGGACCGATGTCATGTTGAAAGGAGTACTTTCGAGCCTTTGAAATATAATTCAAAACATTTGTAGGTGCCGTGTGCGTATGCCATTGTTGTCATGTGCGACCACTGACACCACGTCCGTATTTATTCGTCAGGTACTCTCGGGCCGTGAGCTGAAGATTTACAACTTCGACGAGGGTCTGTTCGTGATGAAGCTGAAGCAGATCATGAACCAGAAGATGCCGTACTACGGCCTGCACAACCAGGATCATGTCGTAGCGCTCTCAAGAGACAGGATGTACGTCAACATGATGAACTTGCAGAACGGCGACTGTGTGGCTACATTCAAGGTGAGAGAACTGACGAGTCGACACCAATGTCGACTTGCGTCGTGTGAGAAAGTTGCGACACTCTTTCACCTCTCGTAAGGCGATATTCCCGTTCCACGGGTACCTCCTGTCATGATGTTTCAAAATCCCCCGGAGCACCGTCTGCAATCCACCACCAATTACCGTGCCGGGATTTATGTTCGCATTGAATGGCAGCGATTCATCTCGTAACGAACTAGTGAAGTCGGTATAAGCCTCTCGCACTTCGGTGTAAAGTCGTTAGCTTAGGTCGCGTGATACTCCATAATTGAGACCACATTCAGGCACGGCTCTCCGCTGACTGACCTTCCCCCTACCCAACCTGCTGTAGCCTATTTCGATGAGCGCGTCTGACCTGAGCCGCTGTCTTTGTCACCGTAAGCCGGCGAGCGGTGCGGCCTGCCGCTGACGACAGTCCTTCCGTCGCCGTCAGGTGGGCGAGGACCGCTTCCTGAACTCGCTGATCGTCTCGGAGGACGGCCGCATCTGCGTGTGTGGCGACGAGACCCAGAAGCCGTTCCCGCTGCTGGTCTGGGACCTGCAGAGCCGCAAGCTCATGTACGACCTGCGCATTCCGCACCACGAGTTCGTCACGCGGCTGGCGGCCATCACCTCCGAGGGACACTACGTCTGCTGCGGCTGCCGCGAGGTGCGATCATCGCAGCACTTCCTCAACCGGAGCGGTGCTTAGGTCGAATGCTTACAAATCGGCCCCCGCGGCCTCCCGGTTAGACGCTCACGACAAGGTGCCGGGTGTGGTCATCCGTATCCATGATATACAAGGGCTACGTGGTTACATACTCATGACATAAATCATCAAGGCTCTCTCTAAAAGGCGAAATGAGCAAATTTCCCAGGCTTTCAGGAACATCTGAAGTTTCCACGAAGCGAACTTAAATTGCTGATGACGGGTACTGATAGTCTAGTGATGAAGCCGCACGTCTGGGAAACCATAGGTGTGGAGTTCGATATCACGCGGCGCCCGCCCTTCTTGCGAGGGTGGAAGGTAGACAACGTCATGTGGCCCCAGTAGCGGAGCGCGCCGTGAAGCCCCAATGACACCCACGCGCACTCGCGCACACGTACACGTGCGCAGGCTGCTGATGGCATTCCAGCACCAGTGCGTCAGAAAACTGGCATGCATGCCAGTTTATTTATCTTTCAAATATCTTGCAGTTATCTTTTAGATAGCACGCCTTCTTTCGGCAAGGTTCACTGCCTATTCTGCGCCCCATCCGCGGCAGCGCCGCCCAAACATGGCCGCCACTTAGTTCGCGCTCTCTGCAGGTGGATGAGCCATCTTCGCCGACGTTCGTGGTCGTGTACGACCTACAGAGCGGTACCCTGTTTAAGAAGTGCAAGCTTGGTGTCAACGTCGTCTCCATGGCTATCTCGTCACAGAGCAGCTGTATCGTTGTCGGCCTGGAGGACTGCATGGTCGTGGTCATAGATCTAATATCAGGTCAGGAAAGATCTCGTCACAGAGCAGCTGTATCATTGTCGGCCTGGAGGACTGCATGATCGTGGTCATAGATCTAATATCAGGTCACGAAAGTTATCCCTCTCCCGACAACGTGATTTGCCCCGGTCAAATGACGCATGATATTCGAATCCACGTCTCCTCCGCAAGGTGTAAACGAAAAAAGCAGTGAGTGACAAACATTTTTTAAGTTGAAGACGACCATAGGTCAGCCTAGTCTCACAGGTAGTAGATTGCGGCGAAAGCACCCCATCCCTTTGTCGCCGTATTAGCAGGGGAAAGGCGGCTGCATGGGACCATCAGTGTCGGCGCCCGTGTGTTGTATGACGTTGCGTCACCGTTCCGGCCAGGCAACACGCGGTGGAATCTGAAGGGCCACACGGCACCACCGGACGCCATCCGCTTCGACAACCGCGGCCACAAGTTCCTCACCTTCGACTCGGAGGGACGGGACAGGTGAGACTCGAAGCCCGCCATCGCACTCTGCTTTTTGATTCGTTGAGGGTCAATGAGACAAGTCAAAGTCTGTACATTCGAGTAGATCATTTAATCGCTTCAGACCCGCTCTCATTTTTAAGCTGAACCTTAGCTTTAAAGAGAACGGAGCATTTAGATAAGGCAGTAGTAATAATCTTACTCCTCGGAAAAACCAGGAGAATGGAGATCTGTAATATGAATATAAATATATAATAATAAAATATATATAAGAATATATATATATATATATATATATATATATATATATACATATATATCATAAATATACAGATTGGTCGATCTGTGCGACCGCCCAGAGCGGCAGCACCCACCCCAGCCAACGGCGCTGACCCGCCGCCTCTGGCGGTCGCCAGGTCTGTGCGGGTCTGGGAGTTGATGACGGGCAACTCGCTGGGCGTGTTCACGCCCGACCAGACCATCACCGCCTGCGACCTGTCCGGCGACGGCCGGGCCGTCATCTTCGCGCTGAAGGGACGCAGCCACATCGTCACGCTGGCGCTCTGCCACGGCCAGGGCCTCGAGCTGCCGCAAGTCAAGCAGTACGGTAGCGAGCAGAACCAGGGGAAGACGTTCGATCTCTCTCAGGCCGGGTAAGCCGGCCGGAGTGCCACGACGAAGAAGGGCTGTGGAGCGCGTGCTCGTTTGCCTTGCTAGTCATGGTGTTAATCGTGGAACGTCAAGCACACTGTTATTTAATCAGAAGAGTGAGTCCGTCTTCTCTTCAGCAATGCTTGTTAATGAGTTTTGGGCTAGCGACGCGTGAGCGAATCTGGAGATCCCCGATCTGTCCTCAGAACTTGGACGAACAATGACAAGAGTCTGTGGGGCAACTGATGCCGCCCGCCAGACCAGACGGGCGCTGCTGGCGGGGGCCTGAGGGCGGGCCGCGGCCTCGGCCGCCTTCCGGCCCCCGGCGCCGCGCGGCAGGACCCTACCGCTCCCGCCGCGTCCGTCACCCCGGTATGCAACGCTGCGGTCCGGCAGCCCAGCTGACTCGCGCCCCGGAAACCCGCGGCCGACCTGGCCCCCGGCCGGCCACTGACCCCGCCCCTCCCGGCAATACTCAGTGATGCCTCCCGCCCCACCCCCGCCCCACCCGCCACCTCGCCCAGGACGGCGCATCGCTCCCGGCAGTGCCGCGGCCTCTTCCAGGGCAGCGAGCCGCGGCCGCGAGCACCGAGCCGCCCCACAGATCGCATGGAGCCCGTACCGTTTGTCACAGTGTCGGTGTCACAAGTTTTCTATGTCTTCAGGTGTGCGAGTGGCTGGTTGTGATGTTAAGAGAACTTCAATAAAAATCACAAAAGAAACGCACGGAGCTGTGCGGGCGGGTTTACGCTTTAGGCGATACGTTGAAATCCCAGGGACCACACGCTGCGGACTCAACTTGCTGCATTTATTTGCCAAGGGCACAAAACCAGAAGTACGATTGGTAACGTTCCAAACAAAAGAAAACGACAATCGATGAGGTCCGATGGCATCCTTCTGGTAGACGTCTCAAAAGCACGTAAAACTGAAATCTATTCGACATACAACCCTCACCCACACAAACAAAAGCCAGCCTCTCTTCGCTGCAGCTGCTCTGCGCGTCACAGCACGATGTAGCGGCCTGCCAGCGGCGGCACCACGCGCAGCGTCCCTGCCGGCCGGGCGACGCGGCTGCCGTCCGTCGTCCAGCCGGCCCTCGCGCTCACACCGGTGCGGCGGCCGCCGCCGGCCCACTCATCACTCGCCACGGCGCGGCCGAGCGCCCACGTCCCGGGCAAGCGGGCCAGGTCCTCACTAGGCAGGAGTCAGTCCGGGCCGGGTCAGATCGGGTCACACCTCCGGGTGTTACTCGGCGCCGCCCACCGTCTGCTGGCCGCCACCGCGCAGCGCCGTCACCTTCTGGCCCTGGGCGGCGCACGAGCGCGCCACGCTGTCGAACAGTTTCTCGATCTCGGGCGCGCAGTGCACGAACTCGTGGTTCCAGAAGTTGAATGTCGGGTTCTTGATGAGCTCGATGAAAGTGATGAGCAGGCCCCACGGGTGCGGCCGGTTGACGATCAGCCGCTCCAGCAGCACCCTACCGGGCCGGGCTGGGTCAGAGGTTGGCCATACGCGGCGGTACGTGGGGGAGGTGCCGCCTCATGCTGTCCGAGCGGCCGACCACCACGCGCACCGCCTGAGAGAGGCCGGTGCGAATATGACGGCGGCCAGCGACCGGCAGGACTTGGCACGCAGGACGACGGTCACAGATCGGTAGAGGGACGGGGTGTGTCAGCCGGCGGTCAGCTACAGCGGGGACGGGCGCCCCGAGGCCAGTCAAACTTGGCGGTGGGGTGACCTCAAAAGGCGGCCGAACAGGACACAGAGCGCCAGCCAGCGGCCCGTCACGTCAACACGAACAGGCAGCCAGGCCAACGACGTCCGACTGGCCCGTCGAGGTCTAGGCAAGCAGGACAGCGGCCAGTCGGAATTCACTGAAATGTGCCTGAAACTAAGGCGAGCAATGCAGCGACAGCCAACAACAGGCCAACACGTGGCACGAGACCTGGCCGAGGAAAAGAATAGGAGCCAATTTGACTTCCTCTTCATTTTCTCATCAACAACGGTCAGGCTGGTGTACCCAAGACACGCGAGCAGTTCTGTTATGCTGAAACGCCGGCATCAATAATAGAACCTCAAACTGCGGGGGATCAGGTAAGTGCTACGACTCTATTGCGCAAGCATGCCTCTCCACATTTGAGGAATTATGACCAATTACACAGCACTTGACCTGCGCGCAAATGGGTCCCTACAACCTTACCTCTCGGGCGCAAGTCTTCGCACTTTCAAGCGCAAAGAAAGGTGACGAACGCGTTCGTCACGCCGTTATCAAAAGGCTCCATAAGCTTATTCGTTTCAGGCATATTATTTCCAGAGGTCGGCATAGGGCAGTTTAAAATGAACCAATTTTTGGCAGGCTTCACTAAGTCATCACTGATACCATGACACTTGGCAATGGTACTTGTACCAGGCCCTCACTGTCATGGGTCTATTCTGTCACACAATGCACCGCTTACGCCGCTAAACGGTCCACAATTACCGAGCATAATTCAACAGGCTTTGACCATCGACTCATACAGCTCGGGCATACCCAGAGACTTTTATGCCATCATGACCAGCAATCCGCCTGCCGAGGCTAACAGACGTCTAACAGCGACTGGATGCCACCACTGCCTCGGCCGTCGGCGTCAGACCGATCGGCCGGCACCGTGCCCTCGCCTTGTGATCTGCCCCGCGCACCGGCACGGACAAGTGCCACCCTCACGCCACTCGCTGGTGTACTTTGTATGTGCCACATGCCGCATAACTCGCCTGGTGATATATCCTGGGTGGCACCCGTGTTAGTCTTGAGTTTGTAGTTCACCCAGACGTACCTGGTGATCTGCTCCTGGATGGCAGCCGTGTTGGCCTCAGCGAACAGGTAGAGCAGCAGGTTGAGGAAGTAGTTGGTGTGGCTGTTCGGGTAGCGCAGCTGGTTGGCGATGGCGTTCAGGAACAGGTACCGGCCTGCCCGACCGGCGGTCGCGTCATGCGGGGCCGCACAGAAAGGGCGAGCGCGGCTTGGGGCACCTCATCCACTTCACCTTACGCATTTCATCTACATTTCAGACATTTACCCGGTATATTCAAACCATTTGCGAGCATGTCTGTACTTATCAGTTCATGCCACACGTATCCAAAACAACCGGATTGTTCGTGGTCGCATCCGTCATACAGCTAAGGCACTAATCTCTCACCCAGGAGATTATACAATCGACCCAAATCGCCACATGGGTGAAAGGTACGAAGCACAAACCCACGCCGTGCAAGACTAGTACAAGCTCATAGAGTAATTCAGACGCACCGTCAGTCACCGCTGTTACCCCTACACCCCAACACATCATGAGGCCACTGAGTTCTGCGCCACTCACCCTCCGTGTCCAGATCAACAGCCAGGCTCTGGAAGATGTCCATGTGCGAACTGTGCGTGATGGTCTGCTTGCTCGGCTGCAGCCCCTTGCTCTGGATGGCGGTGATCGCCTGCGTTCCCACGTACAGCACCAGCGCGTTGATCAGCTGGATGTTGTAGCGGCAGCCGGGCTCGGCGGCCGTCTGCAGCGTGGAGCGCAGGTCCGTGACGAACGTCACCGGCGTACGCGTCTTCAGGTACGTGTCCAGCTCCTGCGCGAGGGTACGGCCGGGCGTCAGACGGCGCGGCGGCGGCTGCGGCGCGGGGGCGGTCGGCAGGTGGCAGCGGACAGGTGGCTGCTGCTCGACACACGCAGACCACGCCGCCGCAGCGGAGTCTGGTGACGCCGACGGTCGCCATTCGAGCAGAGACGGCACCTGCGGCAGACACGTGCCGGCGGCTGTGCCGGCAGCTGGAAAGAGCCGCCTCCGTAATCCGCCACGGCAAAACGACACGCCTGCCACTTTCCACCGGATGCTCCGCTACAAGACAGCGGAGTGCGTCAGACCAGTCCCGCGCGCGTACTCGGCCCCCACGACGGCCGTCACAGACGAACGTCGGCCCCGCATCCGCCGGTTCGCGGTGCACGCCCGGCAGGACGACGCCCGAGTGTCACGCGCTCACGTTTTTGAAGCTGGGCGGCTGGATGAGCGAGGCGAAGTTGGTCTGGATCATGGGCGCCTCGCGGATCTCGGGGATCATGTCCACCTGCAGCTTGCTGGTGAACGGATCCGGCGGCGGCATGTTCCGCGGGAACGCCGACAGCACCAGGTTGCGCATCTGCAGGGGAGTATCGGCCGCGTCACAGCGGGCCGGTGGACATCACTTGGAGACCTGAGCTAGTTCGCTGCATTTGCCGAGTTGTGTATCGAACTCAGCCGGACCGGGTTGAGCTGGCTCACGTAAATACATAAACTACTGCGAGACAGCTTCCGAGCCAACAGTGAACAACACTACAGCCACGGGAGGTCGCCAAACGCACGTCTGTTATCTCCTTCGATTCTCCACAAACGCATCGGAAGGCCGAGCGGATACGGCCCGCCGCATGCCGCCAGCCGGGACTGGCCGCCGAAGGCCGCCCACCTGGATACAGTTCGGCGGGATGACGTCGCAGAAGTTGTAATGGTAGTCGCAGAGGAACTCGGGGAAGTCGTGCAGCAGCACCAGCAGCACGCGCAGGCAGCCCTTGTACAGGATGGTGATGGGCTTGGCCAGCTCAGCGTTGCGCAGGAACGGCGAGAGGAAGTTGAAGAGGTCGATCAGCAGCTGCGCGTACGGCCCCCAGCCCTGTAGAGATCGCACGAGTCAGCACGCAAAACAGCGCCCGGCAGACGCCAGAACGCGACGCAGAAAACGCCGTTGAATGACTCAGTCCGTGTACCGTCACTCTAGCACAGGCCATGAAAATAAGAGCAACGCGTCAAAGCCGTCAGCATGAGCAAAGCCAATGCTTGGCGGTGGCTTGTGCCATGTCATGTCATTGGGGCTTTACGACGCCTTCAGCTGCTGAGGCTGTATGGCGTCGCCTGCCTCTAACCCCGGCAGGAAGGGCGGGCACCGCGGGGAATCGAACCCCGTACCTCTGGTTTCCCAAACGCGCATTGGTTAACGCAGATGCATTAACCACCGCACTACCGGCACCCCATTGGCGGTGGCTTCATTGCACTTTCTCCGTAAACGCCAACACGATGAGCGAGGTCGACAGTCAGCAGTTGTTGGACACGATCACCAGCATGCGCAGCTGCGCGTTGACGGCAGCGCGTCACCCCTGCTCCACCCGACCGGGGCATCCTCCAGACCCACCTTGTGCTGTGGCGTGACGGCCAGCATGCGGCCGATGAACACCCGGTGCGAGACGATGTCGAGCCAGGCGTACGCGAACCCGGGCGCCTTCTCCGGCCGCAGGATGTGCAGCACGTTGCAGAATGCCGTCAGCACCTGCGGCAGCGCGTCGAGTCAAGCGGCCTGCCGCTGCCCGCCGCCACAGGCCAACATGAACCGAAGGAAAGCGAACGCTCTGGTACGAGCAGCAAAGTATAGGACGGGCGCGTCAGCGCGCTTACTGGTTCGCAGATTAGGGACGTGCACCCAGTGACAACGCTGAAACAAGCCCGCATCAGCTACTGGAGCAAAAAGCCCGAGGGGACGTCGTTAGGGCAACACAATGGTCAGGATGACGTCACCGCAAATTGGGAGACCCGTCAAAAATATTGACAAAGGGTCTATCAAAAGCCGTCATCATGCGGCTGTAACAGCCGCAAACAAAGCCAGCGGGCGAGCCTCTGAAAACCGATGACTTCAAGCTTTTATACTTGGCAAAATTCAAAAGCATGCCGTTACTCAGATTTTGTGGCGCTGCTACTGACGCTAGATTCCTTATAGATTTTACTAAGCCCGCACGCTCTGGGCTATAATGCTTGAAGAGCACGTTACAGGGCCTGTGTATGACGCGCTGCAGATGGCGTTCTCCCCGCGGGTGTGACGCCAATGCATCACACGGCTGAGCTGCAGGTCTGACTGTGCATGATGCATCGGTCGGCCCGCAGGACGACCGTCGCCGTTAGCGCCGGTGTTCCGCGCACGCGGGCTCGCTACATACACCGGCATGCACCTGGAAGTTAATGGCTTCCAGGACCGTCTCCGGCGCGTTGAGCTCCAGCAGCAGCATGATGAAGATGCGGTGGTAGGGCAGCTGCTGGAACTCGGTCTTGCGCACCTCGTGGTCCTGCAGCAGCACCCCCGTCACGATGCCGAGCACCTGGCGACGGCGGCAGCGCCCGGGTGAAACGAGCGGACGCAGCGGCTCAGGCCAGCGGCTGCGGCGGCGCATCACAGGCCGCCCCCAGGCAGGTGGACACGGGCCCGCGCCGGCCGGTACGGCGGCGCCCCGCCGGCGGCGCACCGGGACACACCGAGGCACGGGCGCGGGGTGTACGACTGCCGCCGCCGCGGCGCTTCGCCGACGCAACGTGCTCGCACGCCGACGCCCGCACAGTCGCTGTGAGCTGAGGCGCCAGCGGTCGAACGGCCGCCTCAACGGGGGGCAACATTGGTGCGTATTTGACGATCAGCTCACACGCAGTGAATCAGCGCAAAACGGCGCACGCAGTGCAAACAATGTGAACAAAGGCGTCATACTGTGCCGCCCGGCCCAAACATTGTCAACACAGCCGAGCGAGAAGTCTCGCCCACCTATCCAGTGCATGTGTGCCATAAGGAGTAACACTGGAGTTGAGGGCTGAACAGGCCAGCAGTCCAATGGGGCTCACTCGGGTTATGGTCCGCTAATGGCAACCGTCACATCATCCCAGATCCCGGAGTAACCTGATTATGGTCCGCTAATGGCAACCGCCACATTATCCCCGATCCCAGAGTACCGTGGTTATGGCCCGCTTATGGTAACCGTCACATCATTCCCGATCGGCCGATTTCAACTATAGCAGAAGTGTCATTACCGTTCAGGTACACAGAGGACAAATACGCCGTTTCGTATTACCTTTACAAATTGCATGGGTAGAATGAAGACCTCCCATTAGTAGCAGTGCGTCTTGCTTTACGACACAGCCGACTCACATCCGTCATAGAAGGGTTCACCGGCCCAATACATCTGGTCTACAACCCCGGCCCGCCGCAGGCAGCGGCCCGACACCGGCCACCGCCCGCCCTCTCCGCCCTCTCTCCGACACCGCCCACCTCTACAGCAGCATCCCTCTACCGCCTCTCCCTCACCTTGTTAAGCAGGTTGATCTTGGAGACGGCGTGCGGCGACTCGCCGCTGTGCTTGACCAGCAGCGCGATCAGGCGCACGAAGGCGTCCAGCGTGCGGAAACACTTGGCGCGCACCATAGCCGGCGTCATGGCGGCCGGGTCGGTGAGCGCCCGGTAGCACAGGTCCACGCACATCTGCGTCGACAGCCGGAAGAAGCGCGTGATCAGGTCGTCCGTCTTCAGGATGCCCTGCACGTTCATCTGAAACACGGACAGCGGCGGCGCCGTCAGACGGGGGTCGACGGAGAGGCGAGAGCGGGGCGACGGGGTGAGAGCGGGGCGGTGGGGTGAGTGTGGGGTTGGTGAGTGGAGCCACATCATCGTCTGCTGGCTCGGTTCGCCTACAACCCCTGGCGGATGGCTCGGAGAAACGTATACAGACTTATCTGTTCAGCGACACAAAGCATCCGAGGCCAGATGCAACGTGATGTGCGCAATGTGCAATGTGCAATGTGCAATGTGTAATGTAGTACGCTTCCCATCGATTATATGCATACTCCAAGCACACTTCCACGTCTCTGGTTGCAAAAAAACCGCATCTACTTCGGTTGAAAGCCAAGGCAACGTCTGACTCTGCTAACACCACCGGACGCTAACACCACCGGACTAACCGTCACCCGTTCCCGAAAAGGGAACAACACGGCGTGCGATGTCACGTTGTTCCGGCGTCAGGACGTGTCGATGTAATCATCCGCCGGGAATGTTAGTGACAACTTGAACTAAATAGAAAGCATTTACCAGTACATCATTGGATTCAGTACTTATCATGTCCGTATCTTGGCGGAGCCGCGTGCTGCCCATCTGGCGCACAACATTGGTGAAGAAGATCGTCGAGTCTCGCGATACCCAACGTGTGCACAAGGCTGGTGCAGGACAGGACGTGGTCAAGTGGAGTGACACCCACCTGATGCACAATGTTGGTGAAGGCCTTGGTGGAATCTCGGCCAGAGGTAGGCGCGTGGTACAGCTGCACCCACTCCCTCAGCAGGTACTCGGTCTTCTCCTGCATGCCGGGCGGGTCGTCGAACTCGCGCGCCTGCGAGATGCCCTTGTGGATGTGGGCGGTGGGGCCGCCCGGACTGCGGTCGGGCGTGAACGGCACCTCGTGCCCCACGCCGCCGGTGCCGCCTCCGCCTCGGACCATTTCCAGCAGGTGCGGGATGTTCTCCGGACAGCTGGCGACGGCAGGGGGCGCCATCAGCGGACGGCTGGGGCGGCGGAGAGAGAGAGCTGGGAGAGTAGTCAGCGGATGGCTCGGGGCGGCGGAGAAAAATGGGAGATCAGCAGACGGCTGGGGCGGCGGAGAGAGAGAGCTGGGAGAGTGGTCAGCGGATGGCTCGGGGCGGAGGAGAAAAATGGGAGATCAGCAGACGGCTGGGGCGGCGGGGAGAGAGAGCTGGGAGAGTGGTCAGCGGACGACTCGGGGCGGAGGAGAAAAATAGGAGATCAGCAGACGGCTGGGGCGGCGGAGAGAGAGAGCTGGGAGAGTGGTCAGCGGATGGCTCGGGGCGGAGGAGAAAAATAGGAGATCAGCAGACGGCTGGGGCGGCGGAGAGAGAGAGCTGGGAGAGTGGTCAGCGGATGGCTCGGGGCGGAGGAGAAAAATAGGAGATCAGCAGACGGCTGGGGCGGCGGAGAGAGAGAGCTGGGAGAGTGGTCAGCGGACGGCTCGGAGCGGAGGGGAGAGGACTGACGGGGGTGGGGGGGGGGGGGGGATCAGCGACCATCTCGAGCGGCCGAGGGCAGGGTCACAGTGTCATGCGCAGGAACCCCGCGACCGCCCGACGGTGAGAAAAAGAGTAATGGCGAAAGGCGACAGCCTACGACACCAGACTGCCGCCAACAGCCTACCATAACAGACTGCTGCCAACGGCCTACAACACACTGCCACCGTTACATTCATAGGCGAGAGTCGCCTGCTTAAAAACTGTTACGGCAACACAGCCGACGGTTCCACGCACGTCAAAGTTAACCGCAATTGCCGGACGATCCGCAAATCAACCGCAAAATTAAGGGTACTGCTAATTTATATATATATATATATATATATATATATATATATATATATATATATTAGGATTTGCAGTTAAGTTCGCCGCCATGCCAAAGGAAGCCGACCAGACAATCTCTGGCTGTGGTGTGAGTGGGAATACTGGCGTGTGTGACATCAGGTTGAGCTCGAGTCCCACGGCTTCCACCCACCCGGGCTGTTGCGCGATCTTGCTCAGGGCCTCGATGGTGTTGACTAGGTCATTCTCGGTGACAATCGACACCCGATCGTCGATGAAGAACGCCTGCAGAGAGCAGCAGTCGTAAGAGCGACGCCACAGATGTCTAGCACAGCCCAGTGTTGGCTCTTTGTATTAATTGCCACTAGCAAACGGCCTGCATACAGCTACACGAAGTACGTGTGAGATCGCTGAAACTTCAGGACCAAACCAACGCTTTCGTCATTTGCCCGCTCAACTTCGACCAGCCTCAGGCATTGCTACGGCTACATTCTTATCGAAAGCAGACAGAACAAGCACCTCACACCACCACTTGTGCAGTTATCCGTGAGTAATCGACATCAGCTCCGCCCTACTGGATGGGGACAGAAAGGCATGTCGCTTCAAATGCATGATTTGGCTTTGCGGCGGCCAATCTGCCCGCCCCTTATCCCCCCCCCCCTCCCCCTGCGGAGCAGCGGGTCGCCGCGCGCCAGCCGGTCGGCAGCCGGCAAACCGGAGGCGTTCCGAGACACCCACCTGCAGCAGCTGCATCACTAGGAAGACGGCGTTGTAGTTGCCCGTCTCCATGGCGTGCGCCAGCTGGGCGTCCAGCTGCGGCAGCGACACCAGACCGGAGCGGACCAGCACCTCGAGCGCGTCGCCGTTCAGACGCACGTCCACGCGGCACTCGGAGACGAAACTGCCGCCGGCCGGCGCGGATCAGACGCCGGGCGAAACACACCGAGGCGATCTAACACCCAGCTCCCTGGAGGACCCCCGGTCTGTCCCGGGCAGCCTTGGTCCACTCGACGGCAGCTCCAATTCGTTCGGGACAGGGGTGCAGAACACACTGAGGAGATCTAACACCCAGCTCCCTGGAGGACCCCCGGTCTGTTCAGGGCAGCATTGGTCCGCTCGACGGCCGCTTCAGTTTACTCGGCGCAACTCAAGTCCGTCCACTGCATTCCTGTAAAGCTTACCGCCGCCACACACCGCAGTCCAGTTCCCAGTGTGTCCCCTGCAGCGGCAGTGTGTGCGTGTGTGTGTATCCTGCCGCCCAGCTGTGACCTGAGCGTGGCTCTGGTCGGATCACGGCCGCGGCGGACTCACCTGGTGACGTGTTTCTGGACCCACTGAATGCCGTAGACGCGCGGGTTCTGCAGCGCCCGCAGCACGAGCAGGTGACTGTCACGGTACCGTAGGCCCATCTCCGAGTCCGCCGGCAGCTGAGGCGTGTGCTCCAGCAGGCCCTCCACGGCCTGACCGACACAGAACGGCACCAGTCACGCAACGCGCCCATGCATGCCATACGCGCTGACACACGGACCAGCGATAGCACTGCAGACAGCATTGCCGCCCGTGGTTTACGGTGGCTCTTCTGCCATTCACCCGAACACAAACATGACGTGTCAGTGAGCGTGTATCACTCTCAGTCCTGGAACGGGCCGCGTACCTTCTCTCGCAGCTCAGCAGAATTCACAGGATCCACACGCGAATGCAGCTCCAGGCCACAATGTCTCCAGCTGGACATGCCACAGGTGCCGTCCACCCAGCCCGGCTGTCGACCGTCCCTTGTGACTGACCCCCAGCCCACGTACCAGCTTGATGAGGTGCACGTGCGCGTTGACATCCCGCGACGTCCTGGCCAGCGTCACGTCCTCAGCCAGCCGGCCCAGCGTCTGCGCGTACGCGCTGCCCGTCGCCGCCGGGTGCAGCGCCTGCACGACGGCCTGCAGCTCCAGTGCCACCTTGTCCATGATGGCGCCCAGCTCGTCGCCCGGTTGTGGCGGCCCGGGCGGCAGAGGCGGCAGCGGCGGCGGCGGCTGCGTGGGGCGCAGTGGCAGCGGCGGCGGCGGCTGTGGGGCGGCACGGCGCGGTCAGCGGTCAGCCTTGGCGGCGGCGTCCCACACGGACGGCGGTGGAAGGCGTGCAGGGTGGCAGCACGGCATCCGACGACAGGAAGAACGACCGAACAGTTAATGTACATATAAGATGCAACAAGAAGAGAGAAACGGTCAATATATATACATATATATATATATATATATATATATATATATATATAGCCTGGGCTATATATATATATATATATATATATATATATATATATATATATATATATATATAGCCCAGTTGCTTGACCTTCATCTAGCATATCGACGACCACATGACGCAGACCGCCTCCGGACCCGCGGCCAATGTGGCGACACCTGAGCCCCGACGCGGCCCGTCCTGTCGGCGGCGGCCCATCAGCGCCGTCACGTGGCCCAGCCGGACGCTCAGCTCACCTGAGCCGAGCGAGCCGGCAGGCCGGCGAGCTGCGGCGGCGGCGGCTCGCCGCTCAGCGCGAAGCCGGGCACCACTCGCGTGAACTCCTCGTACACGGCCATCTGCTGCGGGCTCATCATCTTGAGTCGGATGGGCTCTGGCATGCGCGACTCCTGGTAGCCGGCGGCGACCGGCTCCCGGAAGCGGCGGCCCTCGGCGCGCGCCAGCTTGCGCAGCTCGTACTCCTGCCCCAGACGAGAGTGCCGTCACATATCGACGCCGAATCACCACGCGACCCACATCACATATTAGCCTTTCTAAACAGGTTACTGGGGGCCGCATTTGGGTAGTAGGGAGGGGAGGAGACGTTCCTTGGGTTCATATCGCCTCGCGCAACGATATTGCGCAGGCGCTATCGGCCTCTCGCGGCAAACCGGTTGCCCAAAGCAACCCACATTTCACCTCCATACGAACAAATGTGCCACAATGACAACAGCCATGACAGTGTAACACTTAACCGCCGTGTGGCTGAAAACCGGGCAGCTTTTCCAGGGTGGTCCGTTCGCTGCGAGCCACACGTGCCACCCGGTGACTCGGGCCCAACCCACCCCAGCCAGTCGCTTGTCGATCTCGAGGATGGCCTTTTCGACGGCCGTCTTCTGGATGAAGCAGCAGGCCAGCTCCACGTTGTCGGCCGCCACCATGTTGGCCGTCTGCTCCATGAACTCCTTCTGCTGCGGCGTGGCAGCCTGCCGCACAACACGGCCATGTCCCAGTTAGGCCCGTCAGAGGCCAGCCCCACCAGCATCGGCAGCGATGAGGACAGAAGGGCCCTGCACCTGCCGAGAACTGCTCAAACACGGCTATCGTGTGGACGTGTACCCTAGTTTAGTTGTAATAGGGCCATCTAGGGAAAGTGATGCTGGGGTAATTGAGATGGCAAACGCAGTGGAGATAACGTAGAATCGTGTTAACGCCGGCTCTTTCGACACTGGCGGACACCAACGAGAGAGGCTGATGAAGCAGCGCGGTGCTCCTCTCAGTCGCCGACTGCGCCGCTTACTCGGACCGTGGAGAGCAGGGACGACTTGATGTTGTTGCTTATGGAGACTGTGAGGTGGTCGCGGCAGTTGATGAGCGTCAGCCCGGCCGTCAGATTCATCACCATCTGCTGGGCGGCCGTGCGCATCTTCATCTCGTCCGGATCCAGCGCGAAGTCCTTCTTCACCACCTGCTCCACCGTGTTGACCGCGAGCTGAGGGGACAAGGCACACGGAGGCGGAGTCAGACCTATGGTACAGCACTCGGGTTCGCAGCATCCGAACAGACTCGAATAGGTTCGTGCCTCGTGGATCTTCGAACATCAAAAGCAAGGATTCCAGCACGGAAGATCGGTGCTTCAAACAGACGAGGAAGGCGTTGAGCACGTCGGTGCTGCGTCGGACGTCTGACTCGCCCTCCCTGCATGCATAAGTGCATGCATTAGCTGTTGCCGGATCTGGCTGCTGTGGTTACCGGTCTTACTCTGTGACCACGCTTCGCCGGTGTGTTGTGAGAGCGAAAGTAACCCAGTCTTTGTAGTCACTTTGTCGTTTACAGTTAGTAATTACGGCGGAGGGCGTCAACGATACTTTGCAAAAGGGAAGGGGCCGACCGAAATGCAGGTCTCAATCCTCTTTCAGCTAAGGGCCCCTTCATCTCAGGCAACCTTCTCGAGCCAAACGGCCTGTCGCACCTTAAGCTATATAAAAACTAGACTTCTGAGCCCAATTCTTAACTTTAAGACTATCCATCACCATTATGTGAGAATACGGCACCACCAAGGGGTGGCTACCTAAACATTAGAGCGAGAGAAATCACGTTACACCTGTGCAAATTTCAGTTTGAGGGCCTTGTTGTCACGCGTTCGGTAAACAAGATCAAACAAATAGAAGCATTCCTCCTAGTAATCGTCATTTTGTTTTGCCGTTTCCGGAACAAATCGTATTTTGTCGTCTTTTTTTAAGCAGACCGGCGTAACTACCCCGTTAGAAAAGCGCAGGCACGCCGTTACAACAGCGCAGGCAAGCCGTTACAACGGCGCAGGCGTAGCGTATCTTAGCGAGTATCTTAGCGAGTATCTTAGCGAGTATCTTAGCGAGTGTCTCTCACATTTCATAACAAACGAAGCTTTGACGCCCACATAGACGGGCACCACCGCTACGGACCTAGTGAATCTATTCGAATCTCGAATCCGAATCCGATTCCATCCGCCATAGTACTAAAACCCCACATTGCAGTGAATGCACACACTACACCCGCCAGAGGATGTGACAGTGGACGGCCGGGGGCGCACGGCTGCTAATCACGGCGGACAGCGGCGGGTCAGAGCCGACAGTGGGGGCAACAGAGGGGGGGGGGGGGGGGGTAGCGAATCAGGCTGGACGGACGGGGACCATCACAAGGGAGTGGACGTGGATCAGAGCAGGAAAGCTGAACATCCGCCCGACGTCTGGGATCAAAGGGAAGGGAGCGGACAGAGCGCACGGCTGGAAAAGGACAGCGCGCGTCTGTCCGCCGCCACCACCGGACAGAGCGCGCCTGTCTGCTGCCATCACCGGACAGCGGGCGCCTGTCCGCTGCCATCAACGGACAGCGCCAAGGGCGCCACCCCGAGAACATTCCATGGTGCAGCTGTTGGCACACCAATACATGACGGGGAATGCACCCGACCAGCGCGGGGGTACGGAACAATCGGGCGCTAATGACTCGTCACGCTTCACCGGTGCAGGTCACACAGCTGACCTTGCAGTTGCGCTCGACGGCACGCGGCAGCCAGTCCTGGACGGTGCGCTCCACGGCCGGCAGCACGATCTGCTTCAGCTGCGGGTTCGACTGGAACAGCGGCAGCTGCCGGAGGAAGGCCGACGTCAACACCCGTCACTCAGCGCCGAGCTCCAATGACCGCCCCGTGCCGCAACCGCATGCCAGATGCAACACACGATAACTGGGCCCCGACAGCAGTCCATCGAACGCACTTACGACTGAGGCTCCCGCCGGTACGAAATGAAGAGCATGGCAGATAGGAATGACCCGTAAACAGCAGCCCGATGGGCGCACTGGGGGCTGTGGCATCCGCGACATGACCATCACGTCCTACAGATCAAGCGTCTGACAGCCGACAGCTCATCCCCTGCCCTCCAAACGTGTCACTCGCTGGCGGCTCCGGCCCCGTGGCAGGTGGACTTCGGGGCACGCACCGCCACACTGATGGTGATGTGCGGCGCCAGGCCGCCGATGCTGGACGTGTTGAGGTCGCCGAAGCCGAAGCGCGGCTCGACGGCGGCCGGCGGCAGCTCCGAGCAGCCGCCGCCGCCGCCGTCTGCCGCGGGGCCGGCCGACGACGGCGGCGGCGCGGCGCTGGACGGCCCCTCGGCCGAGCTGGCCGCCGTCGCCGGCGGCGCGCCGGACAGCGGCGGCAGCAGCGCCGGCGGCGGCGCAGGAGGCGGAGGCGGCGGAGCAGCGACGGTCGGCCCCGGCCGCTTCAGCTGCAGTGGCAGCCGCTGCAGCCGCAGCGGATCGCGCAACCAGTTGCTGGGCTTCAGCTCCTGAAATGGCCACCCGCGTCACACGGCCGGCTCGGGCGTACACACAGCGGGCGTACAATACTGTCACGGAGGCATCGACGTGCCGTTTATGCCCTACGCGCGACAGGCAAGCCGCAATGACGGCCACAGGCACAACTATCAGGGGTAACGGGCTGTCACCTGACCCATCACTCGACGTCAGCCGCATAAGACAGCTCGCGCATAACTGCACCACATTAGCGCCTCAGAGTAAGCAGCCGAACTGATGGGTTTAACCAGGTCAATGGCGTAAAAACAAACACAAATCAGGCCCTTCCCTTTCCATTCTTTGGAGCTATGCGCGCTACGGTAGCGAGGAGAGCAGTACGATATCGTCCTGAACTCACTGAATCATACGCCCTCGTGTGCACAGACCCCGCATGTTATCTCAGGAGTCACCCGTGGTGTGACAACGGAACAATCAGTGCTGGATAACACTCGCCACAGCGCATCCGGTTAATGCAGCGTTAGATACATCCAACTAGGTCATGGTAGATTCGATGCGACTCCAATGCAGACGCCTTCATTCGATTCCAAAGATTCAATCCACCTAGCATGGCCATGGATGGCCACGGAAATGTGACCGACATGACCTCGACAACGGTCATCACTCGTGTGTCGAAAGGTAGACTGTCTTCAAATTTTGATGAATGTAAAAACGGACGATACTCAGCTTCTGACCACCCAAGCACCGCACACGTAGCTTTCAGAGAAAGCTCTCCAAGGGATTCGAGGGCTCTGTCCGCGACGGTTACCGACCAACGAGGCCAGTGTTGGTGAGCGGGTGCTTTCGCTTGCAACTCACCGATGCCAAGGCGACAATGGTCACGATCACTGAATGTTTGAAAAGAGAAACACGTACGCAGAGCGCAGTGACCGGCGAGTAAGCTGTCACCTCATCCTACCCCCCCCCCCCCCCCCCCTGTGGCATGAGTCCCACATATCGGCAGGGCTTACGTTCACAGTCGAGAGAGAGTGTCTTGCAGAGGACCTCCACCTCGAACTTGAGGTTGAGTTTCAGGTCACGCTCTTGATGTAGTTCGGCCAGCAGGTTCATAAGACCCATCGTCCACGGGTTGGGCGGCTTAAATATCTGAAAAGGCACCGATGATTCCTGAGCGGCGCTCACGAACCAGCAGGCGCACGAGCCGGCGGCGGGTTAAAGATACGGCGTCAGCCATATCGAACGCAAACAGGATAGGAATCCACAAAGCCTTGCAGCTGGGCCTGCAGAAAAACCATCATATCGCATCTAACCCGTTCTTCCGATCTCTCTAGACCAACCATACCAGTGAAGTGAGGAAGCAGCAAGCACACACCTGGGTCACTTGCTGACGGCAGACGCCTCCCACCGGGAGCTTCCCCCCCCCCCCCCCCCACCCACACACCAAAGCCTGCAAGTGCGCAGTCTGGGCGCGCCGCGCCGAAGAGCACGGAGCTCAGGCGACACCACGCACCTTCGATTTGGCGCACGATTCGAGAACCTTGGCGACGAAAGGCACGATGTACAGAAGCTCGTGCATTCCCAGGTGGTAGGCCTCCACGACCAGGGCCTTCAGGTCCAGGTCGACCTGAAACACGACGGGGCACGGTGCAGGTCACGCCGGGACCACGGCCCGCGACGAGGAGACGAGACTCAAAACGCACCCACAACGCGATCTTGATGGGGGACGGGAATGTCGCCGCTAAAGGAACAACTGATCCAGGGGCACATACCAGCCAATGGAGGAGCTCAGTCATGCCCGCTCTGCACATAGTATTGACTGACGGACCACCGCTCTTACCTGAAGAATGGGCTTGTTCTTGGCGATGGTCATGAGTCCTAGCCAGTGGCCCAGGTTCTTGAGTATTGTACGATCGTTGAACTTCTCCACGCCCTTGTCTGCCCGCAGCAGTACCTGGCGGCAGGCGGAGTCACGGTTGAGTCGGTCCTCTCGCCCGAGGCCACACACGCCCCAACCCGGCATCGAGAACGCGACTCGGACACACGCTGAGCAGCTGACGGACACGGCGGCCGCGCTTTCAAGACCGAACACTCTCGGAGTTCTAACGCTGGCCTGTGTGATGCTGCCGCGGGGCATTGTAGCATAACGATCAGCAAGCGCAACTACGTGAAACGGCTCAGTGACCTCCTAGAACACGCCCCGGAAATAGCAGTCCCTCAAACCACCTCATCATAGCGACAACAGCTCCGTCTCACGCAGCGCCGCCCATGCCAGAGAGGCCGCCTGCCCCCGCGTCGGAGGCCACCCTGTACCTGCTGGACGCCGGCGGACACCACCGCCCGGCTGTACTGACCTGGATGTTTCTGTGCAGCTCGCGCACCACCGTCTGCACCAGCTCGGGAAGCCTCATAGCGTCCAGGAAGTTCGCGTACAGCGTGTGGAAGTTGGGCTCGATGCTCACACGTCGCATGACGACGTACTGAGAGAACCACGACCAGTACTCCTTGTCCATCAGCTCCAGCAGCTCTTCACACTGAGAAAGGACGCCGCTTCGTGAGGGACGGCTGGCGGTCACTGACAGCGCGAAGGCAATGACTTCAGTACCACCTAACCACCTGTTGCAACTAACGAAATGTTACGGTTGGGGACATCATCGTAAGTTATATACATGATTCGGTGGTATCCACCGCACACAAATTAAGCCCCAACCCTTTCAGACCATCGCCGAGACACACCGTCAATGACGAATGACGTCTATAAAAACGGTACAGTGCTAGGCCTCAGCACGTAGAGCGGTGACCCCCTTGGCAGGTCTGGGCGGCCCCACCCCCAGCCAATGTCTGGCCGGCCAAACCCTCGGCTAACGGGGTGCGTACCACTCACCTTCTGGCTGAGGTTGAGCTGGCTGAGGTTGTTGAAAATGAAGCCGACCTTGTCCTGGACGGCCTCGCTGGGCGCCGTCTCCTCCGGCAGCGCGTTCACCAGCGTCTCGATGTTGGTCGTGTTGGCGATGGACGGCCGGCCCGACACCAGCGCCGTGGTGACCAGGGTGGCGCGCGGCGCCGGCACCGGCGCCGCCGTCACCGCCGCCGACGGCGCCGACGAGGCCGGCGGCGCGCCGCCGTCGGCCACCAGCGCCTGCAGGTGGGGCGGCAGCACGGGGCCGTCCGGCCGGCTCAGCGGCTCCTGGGAGCGCATCCCGCACTCCACGTACTGCGGCACACGCCGAGGGGCTCGGTCAGGAGTGGCTGGAGGCGACCGAGCACTGCGCGCCGCCGCCGAGCGACGCCAGAAGTCAGGGTACACGCCGGGAGCGTAACCTACACGTCAACAAACAACCAAACGCAGCACTCCAGCCTGGCGATCCCGGACTGGGGTAATGATACAGTCTTCTAGTACTTGGTATGTGGAACACTAATGCGCGCCTGGAATAGCATCCAGCGCTCAAAGTGGCGCGTCAAGCGACGTCAGAGGACGCCCGCAGGCGCCCAATACGCCATGTCTGGGGCAAAGAGCGTTACTGTGCCTGACGGCGGGAATTAACCGACTCTGCAAAACACCTAGCACAAGCACATCAGGCGCTTGCTTAAACGCTTACTGACTGAATGCCGTTGCAGCCCACTGTAGACATCGCAGCCGCCACCAAAACAGACAATCAATGAGAGCACTACGTGACACGTCCCACTGCGCCCAGTCGGTGTCCAGTACTCGCCCGCGCTCTGGACCGAGGCCTCACCGCGGCGGCGAGAAAAAAAACGAGAACAAACGTTGCCCTCCGCCCTCCCCCCCCCCCCCCCTAGGCGACGCCCGCTAGCGCCGCATCACTCACGTCCACCAAGTGTCGCGGGAACTGGCTGAAGTGCTCGACGGTGGCCAGGTGCTGGCAGTACTGCGGGTACTCTCTCAGCCGGTGCTTGAAGCGGTCCAGCGCTACGATGCCAAAGTTGTACATCTTGGAGCCGGGCGGCTTCTTCACGGCATCCAGCACGTAGCGCAGCGCCAGGCCCAGACCTATGTAGCTGTGGCGGTGTGACAAGCGTCAGCTGTTGCCCGCCTCGTTTGGGGAGCGCGTCGCGCGACTATGTTCTCCATCATTGCAATCTCTGTGGCAGGCTGTTTGGAATTCCAGTAACAGTAGTGAGCTGGCTAAATTCAAGACCTCCAGAGGCCAAAAGATGAAACAACCTTTGACGGGAGACCAACTGTCGCACCCAGCGGCACAGCAATTGAATAGACGGCAGACATTCTTACACGAGAAAATCTAAATACTCGCCACCCATGCAGACCTCGCAAGTTCGGTCCATCCACCACTGACTCTGTCATAGAGCATCTCACATCTTCGAAGTCAGCCCTAACGCTACGATGGGTGTGGAGCCGACTTTCCCCGCTGCGCACTTACTCCGTGACTAGGTTGTGTTCAATGATGCCGCCGAACAGCTGTGCCGTGATATACAGCTCCTTGTCGGGATACTGCGGGAAGAACTTGTACTCGTCCATCAGGCTGCGCAGCATGCAGGCAAAAACCTCCTGCGAACGCGACCGCACAAGCGCACGTCACCACGTGACACCGTGGGACACGTGGCACCGCACCACACGTGTCGGGGTAGCGCACACTAACAGGCACCATTCTGATACCGACTGGCACTCGGTAGGCACATGTGGGCCAGACCCGCTGGCGAGGCGAGCGGTCGGCCGTCGCCACGCGCCGCACGGGCACAGACCTCAGCCATGACGGGGCACGTCCCCACACAATGCCGCCGACGCCGCCACCGACCCCCCCCCCCCCCCTCACCCCTTGCCCCCGCGCGCCCGGCCGTGTACTACCGGAAACACGTGGTGACGCAATGTAAGACGCTCGATACCAGAGATGCAAACCTGGTCCCCACATGGTCGACTATGTCGCGCGGCTGGGCTTAAACCTGTACGCCCCTGACCTGCTTATTCACATCTGAGGGTTGCTTGAAGAGCTCGTGAACAGGCGCCAAGTGCATTTGACTGCGCCCGCAGCCAAAAATCGGCCGCCCATTCACCCACCATCACGTGAATATTTGCACCTCTGATCGGCTCCATCATAATGCCGTCCATGAAACATAGATGGCGGTAGTGCGGCCGCACGCTAGACTGTCAGTGGCCCGATGCCTCCCGCCCGATCGTCGGCATGGTCACGCAAGATCAATGTCGCACGAGGAGCGCAGGGGTACGCCACACCGCCGCCTCCAGTGTCAGTATGCAATACCATGGAAACAGGTAATACGACAAACATACCTGAGCAAACACACCCATCCACCCGCAAAACAACCCTCAGTTAACATTCAGCCCGGCATGCTTCTTTCGAGCTCCAATCTATACCAGCGCTAGTAAATAATGGAGGAAGGCGCATAAAAACACATCAGCCCAGCGGCAACTTGTTGTAAAAGGAACACGGCGCCAGGCGAACTGCCGACGTCACCCCAAAGGAGGCACACACGATGAGGGCGGACAACACTGAGTTATACGCAAACGTCCCAAGGTTGAGGGCACCAACTTCACGCGTACACCCGAGGGCTCCTACACTCGTGTCGTAAAAGTGTGGCCGAAAAAGACATATTTAGTGGTTGTTACAACACAAGGTAATTTTGAACCTACCATCGTTAAGCCATTTGATTATGTGATGTACGTACGGAATCAACATCTACAGCGAATTCACTGGGAAGAAGCTTCTGTGAAATTTGCCTTAACTAAAGCAATCGTTATTCAAAGGAAAGCGAAAAATAACTTTGGGGCACACGGCTCTGAGTCAATGAAAGGCCGAAACACATCCAACAACAGCTGCTCCCGCTTCTCCCCTCCCCCCCCCCCCCCCCCTCCCCTGCTGCCCACGGCGGGCCCGCGTCCCCTACGCCCTGATTTGGCGTCAGTGTCGGGCAATCCGCTCACCACACGCGACCGATTGTGGCCGAGCCCCCACCGCCCTGCCGGCGACAGCTGGCCCATCAGCGGCAGACGCCGGCGCCGTGTTCACACAGGCGTACCGACAGGCGGCGTCAGGTCACCGGGCCACGGGGTCAGGTACCGGGCGGTGCGACACGCACGGGTGGTGAGGCGCTGGTGACACTGGGCGCCGAAGGCCACCGGGTCACGGGGCCAGGTACCGGGCGGTGGGACACGCGCGGATGGTGGGGCGCTGGTGACACTGGGCGCCGAAGGCCACCGGGTCCCGGGGTCAGGTACCGGGCGGTGGGACACGCATGGATGGTGAGGCGCTGATGACACTGGGCGCCGGTCGCCTCAAGTTGTTCGCTTTTGAGCGTAGGTCTAATGAAATTGAATTGGATATGATTCTCGTCAAGGCCGTTTAGGCTAAAGAAGACCTTCTTTACTCAAATCGCAGTATATCACTTTCATCGGGTAGACATGATCACTAAATACGCAGATTTCAGCATTTCGACTCACGCATTTAAACAAATGCGAATCTCGATGATGTGTTCTGCATATTTACATCTTCCTTACGATATATGGCCCGGTACTCTGTTGAATGCCTCGGTGAAGCTGAGTACAAGCAAGGGACGATTACCAATAACCCAAATGGCGTATGTGACGCGTCTCCGTCTCATCCTGCACCGTTCCAAGCCACCAGGTACAACGGGTGCGGTCGATAACCGCGGGACCGCAATCTGCGGCGATGCCGAACAGAAGCAGCCTCCGCCTTCTCCCAGACGCCGTGATAGCACGGTTCGCACCCAGCCACCGCCCAGCCGGTACCAACCAAACGTCCAGACATCCGTCCGGCTCCGGTGCCCACGGCTAGCAGACAATGGACACTACCCAGTCCGTATACCACCAGTCCCCTCTCCTTTCGGGGCACACAGCTGGAACTCACGCGCTCCCGCGGGACGTTGCTGTCCTGGAACCGCTTCAGCATGTCGAGCACTTCCTCGATGGAGAGTGTCGGATGCGGCGGGTGGTTGTAGATGCGCTGAAAGTTGCTGTTGGCCTCCTCCTCCACCTCCTTGGAGAGCGCGGCCGCCTCCGACTGGAACGGCCCGACGTCGGCTGGAAGGGTCGCGGACGGGCGTCAGCACAACCAGCCCGGGCCAGGCACCGGCGCCGTGGTGGCGCGAACCTGCCGACGCTCCTGTCAAGGCCAGCCAACGCCTCTGTCAGAGCCTGCCGACGCCTCTGTCAGAGCCCGCCGATGCCTCTGTCAGAGCCAGCCGACGCCTCTGTCAGAGCCCGCCGACGCCTCTGTCAGAGCCAGCCGACGCCTCTGTCAGAGCCCGCCGACGCCTCTGTCAGAGCCTGCCGACGCCTCTGCCAGAGCCCGCCGATGTCTCTGTCAGAGCCTGCCGACGCCTCTGCCAGAGCCCGCCGATGTCTCTGTCAGAGCCCGCCGACGCCTCTGTCAGAGCCCGCCGACGCCTCTGTCAGAGCCCGCCGATGTCTCTGTCAGAGCCCGCCAACGCCTCTGTCAGAGCCCCGCCGACGCCTCTGTCAGAGCCCGCCGACGCCTCTGTCAGAGCCCGCCGATGTCTCTGTCAGAGCCCGCCAACGCCTCTGTCAGAGCCCGCCGACGCCTCTGTCAGAGCCTGCCGACGCCTCTGCCAGAGCCCGCCGATGTCTCTGTCAGAGCCCGCCGACGCCTCTGTCAGAGCCCGCCGACGCCTCTGTCAGAGCCAGCCGACGCCTCTGTCAGAGCCCACCGACGAAGGTCAACACGGCCTATCGAGGTCAGGTCACGGTCGGCCGTGGGACACGGGCACCAACACGCAGCAGACCGAGCGCCGCTCGGTCCGAAGTGGACTCTGAGACACGGGTCGCGTGTTGGAAGCGGCAGAGTCCACCGCCAGCCGGGCACTGCCGAACGCCACGCAAAGGTCGGATAAGCAGTTCCCCCGCCGCCGATAAGCGGCAGCGGCCGGTAGGGCGGCGCGGCTGGTCCTTCCCAGCCGGCGCTCTCTCACGCCAGGCCGGTCGCCGCCGCCGCACTCACACTGCGCGCTGCGGGCGAGCCCGTGCAGGGCGGAGGTGGGCGGCCCGGCGCCACTGCCGGCGCCGCCGCCGGTGGCAGCTGCGCCGAACAGTCCTGAGACGGCCGGTGGCGTCAGCGATGAGAGCAGCGAGGCCTGGGCGCCGCGGCCGCCGCCACCGGCAGCCGAGGAGCCGACGGAGCCTGCCGATAGGCGGGCCCAGGTCAGGTGACCGAGCATGAGCATGGCGTCAGGTCAGGTCAGGTGACACATGGGCACGGTGTCAGGTCAGGTCAGGTGACACATGGACAGGGAGTCAGGTCAGGTCACGTGACACATGGACATGGCGTCAGGTCAGGTCAGGTGACCGAGCATGGGTATGGCGTCAAGTCAGATCAGGTCAGGTGACACATGGCAATGGCGTCAGGTCTGGCCAGGTAACACATGGAGACGGCGTCAGGTCAGGTTAGATGGCCGAACATGGCCCCACTGCAGCTTGGCCCCTTTTTACCTCAGCTGGTCGGACAGAACGGCGAGGGAACGGGCCGCTAAGCACTATACCGTTTCATGGGTGTTAAGGAAACTAGCTTGGGAGCTCTACGATAAAACGTTCTGGGTTATTTGTAGACAGGCATAACTGACAAGGTTACTCACGTATCCAAGCCCTGCTGGAAACAGACGACAGTTAAAATTCTCGCGGCAGGGACGGAACGTAGACCTGTTGATGGACACCGGCACAAGAGTCGCAAATCAACTCATCCGCACACCGGCGCGATAGTTAAACAACGGCGAAAATATACACGGCATGCAACCACTGTTGTTTCATATAGTGGAGCCTGAGCCGAAAATTATCACATCCTTACAGATGTGCAGCGGTACAGCTGAACTAGAAGACATGTGTTCTAACGTGAGGCGGACGGTGTGCGCAGACGGGAGATGAACGTGCCCGGTGCCGTGTTGGGGCTGGTCCAGAGCAGCCGGTCTCACCGGGCAGCGTGAAGGGCGAGGTCCTCCGCAGGCCGCCGCTGGAGGTGGGGACGCCCGCGGCGCTGCCGGAGCCGCCGCCCAAGCCGAGGCCTGCCATACTGGTGCCCAGACCACCCACCAGCGATTCGCTGCCCAGCGCCGGGAACAGCTGCAACGGGCCACAGGGAACACTCGTTGGTTACAGCTGCGGATAACACCAGATGATCCTGATGACTCGGCGATGAGAAGATAGACCGCTCGTGCCGATAGTTCAGTTGGTTAGCGCGCTCCGGCGACATCGCCCCCGGCTGTGTCTGACCCGACCGTGCCGGACCATCTGACGGACACGAACCCCGAGCCCACCCCCGGCCCGTCTCTCCCACTGACCTGGCTGGGGAGGCTGGCCTGGCCAAAGCCGGGTGTCAAGCGGACGCGGCGGCCCAGCCGGCGCCGGCCGCGCCACGCCCGGCGGCGGCTGGCGCGGCCGGCTCAGCAGCGCCTGGCTCGCGTTGCCCACCATCGTCAGGATGGCCTCGTTCAGCTCCTGGCTGACGCCGGCGGCCGGCGCCCGCGCGTGCAGCACGCTCAGCATGGTGGCCACCATCTCGGGCGGCAGCGGCGCCTTCAGCGGCGGCTCCAGCGCCTTCAGCGGCGGCTCCAGCTCCTTCAGCGGCCCACCCAGGCTCTGAGAGACGCGCCGCTGTCGGGACAGAGGCCGCACGTGGGTCACATGTCCGGTCAAGGGGCACACACAGCACACAACCGAACCACACAGCGCTCTGCACCTAGCCGCTTACGCTCTGGGGCGGCTGCTGCCCATGCCAACCACGATGAAATGAACGAGCAGTCCAATACAACGTGCACAAGATGATGAAGTATCAGTTGCATTCCCAATGCCTCGCTGTGTACGTTGAAACCCATTGCAGTGCCTATGAGCCAGAGCACTTGGATGTATGCTACTCATCAGGCCTAGCAGAGAATTGGCACCGAGTGGCGGCTGGCTAGGACCAACGCATCTACCAACACAGACTGCAACGGCTCGTATCAGATGGGCGCTACGTGGCCGAGCAGTTGAAGCGCTCGGGCGCCCTAGTGTACTACCACTCGACTGGCACCCCACGCTGCAGATTCTGCACGCCCAAGATGTACACTGCGCGCCCCTGCGGGCCGGCTCCAGCCGACCTCAAAACCAGACTGGAACTTCCCATGTGTGAGGTTCAGAACTGGCTCAGTGTCAATTTTATCCAACTGAACGAAACAAGAACTGCTTTTATGTCCATCGGGCCGAGGCAAAATGTTAAAAAGTCGGCTGAATTCCACTTTAAAGTAAACGATTCGATTGTGCATGCTTCAGGTAGCATCAAAATTCTCGGCGTCATAGCTGACTGGTTTGTCATGGGATGCCGTGTCTCTGGTGTCGTGAAACATGCAATGTCATCCTTGTTTCTCTGAGCAAATTTCGTCATTTGACTTAAATATTTTCAAAATCATCGTTCAGGCATACGCGTTCCGTAAGACCATGTACCATCCGCGCGTGTGAGGTGGGCGACCGAGAGTCAAATACAAAAAAATCAAAACGTAATTAACTTCACCGCAAGAATAATTGTCGGCTCCAAAAAGCATCATTGTATAACTCCTTGGATGGGCGAGGATCGAGACCGTAGTGGCGGACCACAACGAGATCAAAGCGTTTGGGGCGCTGAAGGACGTAAGCGCGTACCACGAGGTCCGCGCGCTTTCTGCGCTACGCGCCGCCGTTTCCACCCGTGAAACGCGCACCTCGGGAAGACGAAGTCTGCTCCTGAGCAGATACCACTTGATCGCTACGCAGAGGGCATTTTCGCATCGAGTGGCAGATGCCTGGAACCGCCTGCCATTGTATGCCTGTCATGCCAGAACACTGAGCACGTTCAAGATCGCCATGCGTGATGTAATTTTTTAGCACTGCTTACAGTGCATTGATATATCTGTTTCAGCTCTTTATCACTGCTCGTGTAATGCATTGTACGACTGCCCGTGTTATTTTATTGTATACCTGGTGTGAGTGCCTAGTTATGCTGCACCTGTATGTAACTTGAACTGACCTCGACCTGAAACCGTAATAGCCACCATGTGGATAATTCCCAACAAACTGATACTGATACACGTCTAGCATTCTGCACTATCGGTGAAATGCGTGCCGCTGCGCCCCCAGGCCTAGACTCGGCGGATGGCCGGCTCGGCCGTGCCGCACCTGCAGGAATTTGACGCAGGCGGTGATGAAGACCTCGCCGTGCTCGTGGATCTTGTCCGATAGCCACTTGTCCAACTTCAGGTACTCGCGGCGCGAGGCCAGGCACGCCAGATCGATGACGAACGGCATGGCCTGGTAGTTCAGCAGCAACGACAGCGCCTACCGCAGACAGAGATGGTGAGGCAGGGTAGCAGGGAACGCGGTCGCGCCCATGTGGACCAGACGGCACCGGACTGCTCCAGGTCACGAGAAGCGCTTTATGAGCCTCCCTAACTGCCCGCAGGATCATTGGAGCACACAATCCTCACGCCCCGCCCCACCACGCACAGGTGGTGCCTCACGGGAATACGCAACAACGGACACTGAAGCGGTCCCACGAGGGTTGGCCTCTGCCCCCTACGGTTCAACGTGGCAGATGTTAGCATACGCCCGCGAGCCACCTGGTCAGCGGCTTCGGCCTTGAAAATCTCCACACTGGTTGGCATCAGTAGCCGCAGCTAGCAACCAAGCACGCCACAAGCACACCGACCACATTCAAGCGCGAGCCGTTCCTCCTCCGCGTCGTCCCCAACGCGGGCGCGTCCCGCACCAGACGGCGGTATGATCGGCCGCCCCCAGTTCCGCACCTTGAGGTCTTGCGCCACGTCCAGGATGCGCGACAGTCGGCCCTGGTCGTTCTCGCCCTGGCGGTACCACTCGGCCATGGTGTGCATCAGCATGGTGCGCACGGCGCTCGTGTTCTGCGGCGTGTGCCAGGCCTGGTGCAGCACGGCCGCGCTGTTCGGGTGGTGGCCGGCTGCCGGCGCGGCGTCAACGCGGCGTCATACGACACGGCCACGGCTGGCCACAGGGAGGACACGCCGGCGGCGGCAGCCTCGCGACGGCTTTGTCCGCAGACGAAGGAAACGGTTGGAGCAACAATCTGGCTGAACATTTGCCACTGCTGGCTCCATATCAAACAAAAACTGGGCACACGACAAAGCTAACGCAAGAGTCAGGGGAAAATGTTACGTTGCCGATCCCACAAACCGAGCCGCAGGCCATGTTACCGAACGTCACCGCCGCGGCGCGCCACTCACTGAGGAAGACGAGGAAGAGGTTGGAGAGCAGCTCCTGGGCGAGGTCCGAGCTGCTGCCGGTGGCCAGCAGGTTGAGCGCCAGCACGTCCTGCCCGCTCTGCTTGGGGAACTTGAGGAGCTCCTGGACGGCGCAAGTGTGGCCGCTGTCAGCCAGGTGCAGCAGCAGCTGCATCAGCTCCGTGCACCGCCTGCCGGACAGCCAGCGTCAGCGCCACAGCCGCCAGAGCACACCAGCCAGGCACCGGGTGACAGAGGCCGTGGGCGGGCACACTGCATGGACGTATCAGATCACACGTACCTTGTGACACACTGCGGTACAGTTCTATTGTAAAACATCACAAATATACCGCCTCACAAGTACCCCGAAGGGGAACAAAACCAAATCATTACGCCATCATAAAGGCACGTCTGGTGCCGAACCCCTCATCTGAGCACAGTGGCTCATACAGCAGTCAAACCATACCCACCATGTGTTCAGCTCCTTGTTGTCCTTCTCCGGCGGCACCTTGAGCTGCGCCACGTCCACCATGTAGCACTGGTAGTCGGCCAGACAGAACACGTCAGGGTTCTTCAGGATCTGGTTGATGTACGACAGCTAGAACGGGAAAAGCATTGGGGAACGGGCGTCAGCGACGATATCAAATGCTTTGTACAACAACACAAAAAAACATATGAGGGCGTCCGTCATCATTGCCGAGAGGGATAAATATTGTTTTTATCGTACTGAAGGCATTATACTCTGAGTCCTCGTGAGCAGTCACACAGTGAGGGAAATCGGCTGTCGCAGTCTTGGTGCACCGGTGAGTTTACTGCTCCAACTTCCGTGGAGCAGTCACACAGTGAGGGAAAATCGGCTGTCGCAGTCTTGGTGCACCGGTGAGTTTACTGCCCCAACTTCCGTGGGGCAGTCAACACAGTGAGGGGGCAAATCGGCTGTCGCAGTCTTGGTGCACCGATGAGTTTACTGCCCCAACTTTCCAGCAGAACACCTGAGCCTTCAGGCGTCCGCCTCACCTGCCCGGGTCCGCCAGCCCACAACCCGACCAACCCCTCCCGGCCAGATTCCGGGAATGGTTGGTCGGGGTTTGGTCTACTCGCGCCCGTCCTCCACGCTCCCCGCCTGCGCGCCGTACCTGGCTGTCGGCATTTTTCCAGACGCGGTACAGCACCCCGACGGGGAAGGCGTCGGCGCGGGCGCCCTGCAGCTGGAGGCCCAGCTGGAGCGCCTGCGTCAGCAGCCGCAGCGCCATCCGGTCCTTCACCTGGAAGCCCGGGTGGTCCAGGTGGTACACCACCTCCTTCCACTGGATCGATGGCGCCTGTCGCAGGGTCACGCGATCAGAATGAAGCCGGGGGGAGCGGGGGTGATGCAGCACGGCACGCATCCGTGGCGCATGCAAAATCACCACACACACACAAAACATCGCGAGATGGGAGCTGGGGAAACCGAGGCAAGATGGTCTGACGATCCGACGCAGTCGTATTCCCCCGACAAAGGGGGCGCATCACCAACAAGTGGGGCAGGATGTGCCCTGGCACGGCACAATCCAGCAGGCCATTTGTCTAGGTAGGCTTTTCACGAAATGTTCACGTAGTTAGGACCAACTTTTCCAGAGGTGAAGCCAATCGGTCTGAGTTTGGCCCGAGCTCTAAACACAGAACAACTTGAGCAACGCACGGGAGCAAACCTTTTTTATTTACATATAAAACCATGAATTTAAATTCATGCTGTGGAGTGGGATATCTGCATTTGGAAAACATGGCTTTTCAGGTCTGAAAAGTCTAGTCCGAGTCAGGTGCGCAGCGCGTTGCCAAGCTTAGTGCCTGCATGAAGGCAAAAGAGTGGCCAGTGGGCCGCAGCTGTCAACGGACCGTTGTTGGAAGCGGTGATGGCATGTAAGGGTTCACATTTGTCCGGCTTCTTTGTTTTGTAGTCGTGTCACGCTCGAATAAAAATCGGATAGAAGGAAGACGCACGACTGGGTGGCAGCGTGTGTAAGACTCCGGAACGGTTTTTTGCGTGTTGCTCGTTTGATGTGCAGCTTGGGTACAGCGCGGAATGCTGGTGCTGTTGCTGGGTTGGTGAAATCGGTTGAGTTTATGCACTTCGCGCCGATCCATAAAGCCGTCCATCCCAGTTTCGTCTAAGTCGGTTTGTCGAGGTGCCAAATGGCGTCCCGTAAGTCATCTTGCTGCCCTATTTAAAACCCTTTCAATCCCACCTCACCATGATCAAACAAGGGTAGGATGAATGACACGCGTGCTTGTGCGAGGATCTTTCTGCACATCCACTTCGGGGTTGGATGAAGGGGGTGCATTGCTTGCTTACCTTTTACGTTAAATTAACAAGGATATGACATTTCGGGTCCACGCACAAAGGTAAACTTGTTTTTAAGCCATGGCGACACAGACAGACTGGCCAGCAAACGTCAGATGGCGCAGCAATCTTGAATTTTGTGAGCGTTCACCCTGTGTGCGAGCCAACTCAAAGCATCAGCTAGCTAACGCCGTTTCCTCACCAGCTCGTGAACAGCCTTGACGAACACGTCCACGTTCCAGGTCTGCGGCCCGTCCTTGGGCTTGTCGGCCGCCCCGATGGAGGCGGCCGGCTGCAGGCTCTGGATGGGCACCTGGTCGGCCAGGCCCGTGTAGGTGCGCACCATGGCGCCCAGGCAGCGCGCCACCGCCGGCGCCGTCACTTCGGAGGCACCGTGGTTCACCAGGTGGCGGCGGCACTCTTCCACCGAGGCGCACAGGTTGTAGCCCACCTCCAGCACGAAGTCGGCCAGCGAGCCGTCCAGCTGTGCCGAGCGGTCGGTGGCGGTGAGGATTGACAAAAACACAGCAAAGCACGGCAACACGAACAAAATGCTGCAATAAGATAAGGCAACATACGCATGCCCCTGACACGTGTGGCCTGCGGCCGCGCTAAAGGCTAGATGACGTCACAGAGCAGGACGGACCGTGCATAACATTGTTAAACGTTGAACTTTCGCCACCAAATCTGCCGTTGACCTGGAATTGCGCGATCGGACGGTAGGGGTCAGGGCTCACACAAGCACTGCTTAGAGTGAGCTCTGATCCCACAAATCCATTCATTCAAAATGTTGGGATAAAAAATTTAAAGTTAAAAAACGCATGATCCAAATGGCGTTGGCATAGCTGCTGCCCAAGACCACAGGCACATAGCTGCAGCCATCCCCGCGCCGGGCCGTCGCGCACAGCCCGCCATCCCCGCGCTGGGCGGCCGCGCAGAGCCCGCCATCCCCGAACCGGGCCGCCGCGCAGAGCCCGCCATCCCCGCGCTGAGCCGCCGCGCAGAGCCCGCCATCCCCGAGCCGGTCCGCCGCGCAGAGCTCGCCATCCCCGCGCTGGGCGGCCGCGCAGAGCTCGCCGCACTGACCAGGTTTTTGGCCATGTTGGCTGGGCTCCGGATCTTGTCGACGGGGATGTCAGCGCTCTCCGAGTAGATGAGCGGCGCTAGAACGGCCGGCACCAGCTCGCGCGGGAAGTCTTTGCGCACCGCCTCGACGAACGCCTCCTGAGAGTCGGCCGCCTGGCGAGCACGTGGCGGCCGCACCATCAGCACGGAGACCTGTATCCCCGGCTGGGGGGAGACACGACACAGCACCGCGTGCTCGTGCTCGGCTTCCTGTCACATGTCATCGCGCCCGGCATGCCCGTATGCCACCGCTCAGCTATACGGGGCTGGACGATTAGTGCACTGGTGCGTGGAGAAACGATAACAGTTGGCAGGTCATTTGCCACCTCAGTCAGATAGAGGGGCTTCCGAATACTTCTCCTTTATTCAAATGTTAATGGAAAGCTGTTTGGGGCGCATGTACTACCATCCGCTCGCCAGTGGCCAGTGGCCAGCTACAGTGCCGAGTTGTGTGCGGGCCCGGCATGTCGGCGCACCTTGTCGAGCTGCTCGGGCGGCGCGTACAGCAGCCAGGAGACGAGCCGGTGCAGCAGCTCCGGCGACGACTCGTGCAGGCCGCCCTCCTCAGCGAAGCTCGAACAGTCGGCTGGCGAACGGCCGTCCGTCAGTCGGGAGATCACACACCCTGGCCGAACACGCCATCCGAACAGGGAGACACGTGGCGGCCCGACCGGACAACAGACAAACGGACGGAGTGTAGCAGACAGACAGACGTACAGACATGTGGCGGCCCGACTGGACGACAGACGGACGGACTGAGTGTAGCAGACAGACAGACATGTGGCGCACCGACTGGACGTCAGACGGACGGACGGACGGAATGTAGAAGACGGACAGACAGAATGTGGTGGATTGACTGGACGACAGACGGACTGAGTGCAGCAGACAGACAGACATGTGGAGGATTGACTGGACGACAGACGGACGGACGGATGGAATGTAGAAAACGGACAGACATGTAGGAGACAGACCGAACGACAGATAGACGGACAACATGTAGAAAACAGTTATGCGCGTAGTAGGCAGACCGGACGACAGCACACAGCGTTCAGCAATGGGACGTGCGGTCCAAGAGACCCGATGAAGCACACATGACACCGATCCAAGAGACGCGCTTCAGGGCACCAGATAGATCATGCACGTCGCGACCCGTGTCACGGAATTTATGAGCACTATATCAGGCTGTTCTTGTGCTAGCCGATGAAAGTGACGATCATTGTGTACTGGGAAATCAGCCGTTTTGTGATTGCTGTTGATATGCTTCGCGGCGCTGCTCCACCGTCCGACCTCGAGTGGCCGCCGGCCTCGGTCGCGTTTTGGGGCGGGCGACGCGCCGACTTCCGGCTTGCAGCGCAGCTCGTGGTGGTCGTGTAATTGCCTTGCTCTGGTTCTGAGTTAGTTTTGCCACTGTGGGGCAATGTGGTGATGGTGTTCTTATTATAATCCCATCACATATTGCCCTGGTTGCCTCAGTGCATTTTGTCTTCCTTGTTTTAACTATAACAGAGTAATTAGTATAAACGCAATCAGCGTTCAGTTCACGCGTCATAATTCAGGCTACGGCTCCTTCGGTCGCCAGGAAGTGCTGCCACCTGTCAGCTACTGCAAGGACAGACCGGGCCGAAAAACTGGTCAGGCTTTGCGCCTACGAAAGCTGAGGGTGTCTACTGTGCTGTTTAGTTTCAAGTCGTAGCAACAACTAGTTCATACGATAAAGTAAAGGCTGCAGTTAAAAAGGTGAAGCGTTAGGGATGTCACCAACATCTCTCCCCAGCGAGGGGCCTGTTCGTCCTCTCATCCCGGCGGGGCCGAGCTTCGTGCTCGTCAAAAACGTGAACGGAAGGCTTCCACACGACCAGCCCACTCGCTATCCGTCGGAAACTCGATCTCAACGCTGGCCAAGTGGACGCCACCAAACCGCTCCGCTCGGGAGCCATCCTGGTGAGGGTGTTTACGGAGCACCAGGCCAAGGCTCTGTTAAAATTAGGCAACTTCCTTACGCAGGCGGTCGCAGTCACTCTCGCAGACCGCCTGAACGCCATCTAGGCGGTCATGTACAGCCGGAGCTTACCGAGCTGTCGGGTGAGGAGCTGCTGGGGAAGCTGACCGAGCCGAAGTCGTGCAAGGTCACGCGCCTGCCCCCCCCCCCCCCCCCCGCCGTACCAGCCTGGACCCCACCAGGCCCAGGATGGGCCCAGGACGGACCTTTCATTGACCTACAAAAGCAGGCCAAATCGGGCTGCTGCGCAGCACCGCAACTGCGATACCAGCATGAAAAAACGGCCATTTACGCACCAAACTTCCCACTCGCCACCTACCCGAATCGATGTAGTTCTTGATGAGGTCAGGAAGTTTCTGCTGGATGAACTGCTCAGCTTGTTGGCTTGTTTCGATGTCCTTTGAGTGGAGAAGTGCGATCGCAAAGGCAACTTCTTCTGACTTCTTCAGCTTGAGCGTTTTTGACAGCCCCTGGAGGAACTGAGCAGGACGATTCTGCCAGAAAGAGCAATCAGTTGATGGGTTACTGCAACCTCATGAGTTAACTGCGATTGTAATCACCAATGTATACAATACTTGGACAGCCGGCGCCGGATATATGGCAGACGTCAGTATGAACATGGTGGCTGGTGCCGCAGAAATGGACAAAAACATCAGCCAGGTACTTGGTCCTCCAAAAAGGAACGTGAATGATACCCCATTGCCAGAAGGTAGTATGTGAACTCAGTAAAATCCAAAGAATATCATGCCAGCCTACACCCATTCACGACAAAAAAAAAAATGCATTCCGCACCAACATTCATAAAACACAAGCCGCCAGGCGAGCTTTCCACTGTCGGATGTCACATCCACCATCGTGCACGCAGGCCCCGCGCTCCGCCAGCTGGCCTCGAGTTCACCAGCGGCGAGGGCGCACCTTTTGCCTGAAGGCACGGTGGTCGACGGCGTAACAGAGCAGGTGGACGAAGTTGGGCCGGGTGGCGAGGCTGGCGCACTCCTGCTGCAGCAGCTGCAGCTGCGGGTTGTCCTTGGCGACGCTCCGGCTGCCGTCGCAGACGACGTGCGAGAACAGACAGCGCAGCAGATGGGTCTGGGCGTCCGCACCGTGAGCGCTGACCAGCTGCGGCAGAAGACAGCGGCGCACCCGTCAGCAGGGCCCACCTCCGAACACCAGAGCGTGGCAGGGGTACGTGCCAGGACAGACAGCGCAGCAGGTGGGTCTGGGTGCGCCCGTTAGCAGGGCCCACCTCCGAACGCCAGAGCGTGGCAGGGGTACGTGCGAGGACAGACAGCGCAGCAGGTGGGTCTGGGTGCGCCCGTCAGCAGCGCCCACCTCCGAACACCAGAGTGTGGCAGGGTTGCACGCCATCATGGTGATTAAGGTGGGGACGGCATGCTTTCGTGCGTTACGGGGAACATCAAGGACCCCAGACAGTCATTGAGGAGGGTCAAGCTGAAGGGACGTATGAAAGAGAGATCCCTCACGCCGCTCGGACGCACGTGCGCGGCCGAGCCGGGTGGACCAATGCATCGCCGCAATAGCATTGTCGGAATCCCACAGGCGCTGTTAAAGGCCGGTGACCAGTTCACCGCTGCAATAATATCGCCGGATCCCGCAGGCACCGTTCAAGAAATGTAATAATTAGATGCAAACACACAGAAATGTTAACAGGAGTATATTTTACGGCTACCACAATGAGTCAGCGCATGATTCAGTGCGAGAAACGAGATGTTACATGTCGTGAATTTAACGCGTCAGGTGGGGGGCAATTTGACCTCCCCCCCCCGGAAGGCATTTCCGGAATGGTTTCCGAACGCCACCGACAACCAAAAAACCGATCGTTTGGTATTAAAATTTGGAAGAACCTTTATGGTCGCTGACCTACGGCAGATCAAAGTCAGGCCATGGATCCACCGAAGTCAGTTGCTAGGGAATCGTTCAATCTGGTGTAACAACGAAGTGTTAGACAAAACCATACATCTCTGAGATACTTTCTTGGGTTACACAACAACTGAATGAACAAATTCCATTGACCTATGATCAGGTATGAAAATCAGAACACAGCCAAAACCAGCCTGCTATACTACTGTTTGGCTTGCTGTATGAGGGTAGTTTTGGGTGCTCATTTCAAATTTGTTGATAACAGGAACAACACTATACATCTTTCATGGATCTCTTAAAGGTCAGAGCAGGCAGTAGTCCTGTATGATGTTGATCACCATGAACTTCAAAAGGCCAAACAAGGTCAATGACCTTAAACAAGCATGTGACCTTTGCTAAGAACAGATATCTAGGTTCTGGGGACTTGTTGGAGACCAACCTGAAGTTTGACCTTCTTTGACCTTATTTGACCTGAAGGCCATATTTCTTAGCTCCTGAGATCTCAGGGGAGTCAAACTGCCCTCCCCCAGCCCAACCCCACCCACCCCAGTAAAGGGTATCAGACTGGTCATAGGGGTGCCTGTTAAGATAACATAGCAACTGGTGTGATAGCACATGAGAGTGATCCTAGATGCAATTGGGCAATGCTGGTGTAACTGTCCTGTACCTGAATGTGTATGAGTGTTTTAGCAAGGGCAACATTAGAATATCATTAGATCACCACTTACAGGAGTGCATTAGCTTTTATAGAAAGGGTAGGCCCAATTTGAAATGGATGGCCCATGGTGACCTAGAATCAGATTGCATAAACCACCCTGCAGGTGAACATGGAGAACCTCTTCACCAGGCAATATGTGAGGGGGACTGGGACTCTGTCACTCTGCCAGGTTGGGAGGCTTCCGCACCAAACCCTCGCCCAACACTTGGTTACCACCTTCCCTTCCCCTGATTGGTCATGATATTTTCGACTAGGTGCAGTGGTCATTTTATCCAGTTTTGTACACCTTACTCTTTGCCTTTGCTTAGCTATAGTTCTTGTTTGAATATATTTTCATTTGTTTTAAATGATTCTTCATACATTTACTTTTGTTCTGTAAACATATTATGAAAGGTCTCTAACTTTCTTTTATCCCCTACCAAAAGTTGTTCAGGCATCCAACAGGTTGTAAATGGCCTCATAAATAGACAACTTATAGTTTTCTCAGCTCAGGCTGCAACACCCAAATTTTCCAACAGATCTGCTCTAGTCAAAAAAGCTAATATATTACACTTACTTGCCATGTCATGCCTATGACCTCAACATGATGGATATTACTAGAACTCAATAGCCTGCAAAGCTTAAGACAATGTTAAGAATGCATTCACCTAAGTTGAACTTTGCAAGAGCTTAAACAACTCATTTTAGTAGTGTACCAATCAATGTGTGCTTACTAAAATCTACAAATATTGTCCATGATGGCCAGCTATATTGTATTGAGCTGGTTGTGCTATTATACTGGGTGCATTCATATAATGCTAAGGTTAAATAGGAGACAGACAAAATGGCAAGAAAAAAGCAATTTGGTTCTGGAAGAATACCTTCATGCATTTTAAAATCTTCAGAAGACCCATGTGACATGATTCATGCTAGAAATATCACATGCATTAGATGGGATCAGATATGCTCATAAATGCAGCCTCAGTGTTCCAGCTGGGGCATAATATTTCAATTTCTCCTTGCAAAGGCAGAATTTGAAAGTCTAAACAAACAATAGAAGTGATGAGCAGGGCAAGAAAGAGCAGAGGCAGCAGGGCTGTAGTATCAGATCATCTAAGGATTGCAAAAATTGGGCATAAAGCCTGCTAAGTCTGATAGGTGCCTTTTGTTTTGTTTTGTTTTGATGATGTTTTGGACCCAGGGGCCACTACATGTGCTCTGAGAGAAAATCCCTGCACCAATTTAAACATGTAGCATACCCAAATCATACAAAACAACATCATTTTTAATGACAACTTATAAGGCTGCACACATTAGGGGTGCCCAGGATAACATGACCAGATACACTGGACTGAAATGAAGCACTGGAATGAGGTACCAAATTATCAAGCTTTGGTTTCTCATCAGCTTGTGCATTTGTCCAATAACTTACCTGAGCAATTTCTTGAGTTGACACTTTATAATTCTTTTTTGCTAAATTCGCCACAAGATTACTGATGTGAATCAGTGCAAAAGAGGGCGAATCCAGGTTCATAGTCCCATTAATGCTTCAAAAAAGGAAACTTCAACTGAGGAAGCTTCCTTAAACTCTTCGGCGGAAAACAAAAGCAAAGACGGTAGAAATGCGTGCGGACGCACTAGAAGTCCATGGCAGTAGGCGATCCCAACGTAAACACGTCTCATAACGTCTAACTTCAGGTCATCACACAATTCTGAATAAAACTCAATCAATCATGATTTCCAGCCGCCGAACAGCTTTCCAATTATTTCTGACATATCAGGCAGGGTCTAAAAGACTGGCATATAAAGCAGATACCCTCGTCCTCCAAAACGGCTCGGTGGATCGTCTTGAAACCTTCACCAATCGACTTCGTGTAATGAGGATAATCATGGTGTGATAATATCCAGACGTGGAATGAGGTCAAACCCCTCAAAAACGCAAAAAAATATTACATGCAAAGAAATACAGTTCAGATCTCAGAGCCTACTGCATCAATCGCTGCGAAACCTTCACAATTGCATGCGCCATACTTGGTTTCCTCTTCCAGTTTAACATTCGGTGAACCCAGGTCAGGTTGAAATTCGTCAGATTTTACGAACTCCAAACTTATTGTTTGCAGACAAGTCATAGCTCTGAACCTACCGGATTGGTCGCTGCGAAGCCCTCACCATTGGATGCGCCATGCATGATACCCTTTTACAATTGAAAATGCATTGACCCCAGGTTGGATCAAAAGTCGTCAAATAAACAACTTCACTTCCAAAATTTTTGCTTACAGACAACTCACGGCTCAGAACCTACCGAACCGAACTGCTTCGCAGCGATTGATGCAGTAAGATCGGAGATCTGAGCCGTCTGCATTCAAATGTAAAATTTTTCCTTCGTGTTTTCAAGGCGCTTGACCACAGGTCAGGTCTCGATGTTACCTCTCCATGACTCGTCTCAACACAGGGAATCTATTAGTGAAGGTTTCAAGGCGATCAAACGAGCCGTTTCTGAGAACGAGCGTGCCTGCTTCATAAGCCGGTTCTTTAGACCTTGCCGCATATCAGGGGGGGGGGGGGGAGGCAAAAGCGTATTTATTCCAGCACATGAAAATTCCATTGCAGGCAAAATTGTGCTGCGAAGCTACATGGATGCAAAAGTGTTTTACCTGCGCTCCCAGAACCTTTTGCTATGCATACAAGATTCGTACACAAGGTACGTACGCATGTCGAGCACGGAAGTGACGTGGGTGGCACACCTGGGGCTTGAAGGCATATGAGGAAAGCGGAAGGGGACCAGAGTGAGTCAGGGTTTCATAGAATAAACAACACAAGCTGATTTTGAACAACACCTTCGGCTCCCGGGGCATACGCTACATCCAGAGGAGGGGGTGGCACCCAAACAGGGACGCGGTAACCGGGGGGGGGGGGGGGGGGCGGTTGGAGAGCAGCCCATTCCCGAGCTTGAAAGCTGTGGGGATGGGTGCTTGCAAAGGTCCACTTTGGGCTGTCAGCGGCCTGAAGCGGCCCCCTGTCTAATCTTAGCAGGGTCCACTTTGGCATGTTGGAGTCCCTCCCCCTCCCCTCCCCCAACTTGAACATAGTTCCGGCGATTCTGCAACCAAATCCCCGCTGGCTACATCGCCGTCGGCTGCATGCGTAACGTGTTCAGCGTGGCGCTATGTGGTGCATCACAGGGCTGGACTGGGGCTACAGCTGCATCTGCGGTTGGGCCTGGGCCTGGGACTGCAGTTGGGCCTGGGCCTGGGCCTGGGCCTGGGCCTGGAACTGCAGTTGGGCCTGGGACTGGGACTGCGGCTGGGCCTGAGCCTGAGAATGTGGCTGGGTCTGGGCCTGGGCCTGGGACTGACACTGGCACTGACACTGGCACTGACACTGGCGCTGATAATGGCAATTGCAGTGGTAATGGCAATGGCATTGGCGTTGGCACTGGGTGCAGGGTGGGAGGGCAGGGCGCAGTCACCCCCTGCCGAATCCGGTTAAGGTTTAGCATGGCGGTAGTGCACTCACGAAAGAGGCAAGCTACAATGGCCTTCCCTAGAGGGTCCACCACAACCGGGCGTGGCATGACAGAGCAGGAGACAGGACCGGGAGGAGCAGGGGGCAACAGGACCGGACAGAATAGGCCAGGACAGATCAGCAGGTGGGGCAGGGTGGAAATGCACAGCGTAGAATAGCGCAGGACAGGAGACGACAGAATGAGAGAGAGCAGAAGATAATGGCACAATGCAGGGGAGCAGAGACAGGGTGCAGAGAGACTTTAGGTACACATGGCAGGTTTTTGGTATGGCAAAACAGATCAAGACGGCAACAAAAGAGCGGAGGACAGCATGTCACAGCACAGCACAACACAGCACGGAATGTGGCAGTGCCAAGGGAGTTTGTCAAAATAAAACAAGATTTACCTGCAGGACTACTTCAAAAGATGCCTCCTCCACTCCTAACGCAACGGCATGCATGAAACTCGCCTCTTGTACGTATTCGCTCGGCTTAACGACCTTTACGTACCACGCCGTTCGAGGTACTGGTCGTTTTAAGGTGAGCACAGCGCATGCACCCGTACCCAACGTCCGCAAGCTGTCTGCATCGAGTGAAATCACGGATGTGTTTGAAGTCGCACCTTTTCAGATCTACATCATACCTTCGAGGCCATGCCTTGTAGCAACATGAAACACAAGTCAGCGTGTTCGTTATTCAATTATGAGAACAATGGCGCATAATTTTAGGTGTTTTGACCATGTGTTTATGATGTATGGCTTCGTTGATAAGACGATGTCGCACCGTCGCGCGAGGTTCCGCGGCATCGCCGGTCGCCTGCCCTCCCCCCTCCACCAGCCAGCCAGCCAGTCGTAGATTGCCGTGCAGTGTTCACCAAAAACCACTCCTGCTCCGAAACCAAAAAGCTAGGGACGCGTTTTTGGTGTCAAAATAGGCACAATAGATGCACCACAGCGTAATGAAAATCTGGGCGCGATTGTACGACATCCCGGAGAGGTATCTTAAAGAAATCTTAGGGGTTGCATCGTCGCATCGACCCTACCCCCCCCCCCCCCTCCCTATCAGGGCGAGCGGTAAGGCACCAGTGGGAACCAAAATTTGGGCACGCCCCTGTCCCACTACACACTTTCAGAGACATCTTTATGCCTATGTTTACGTTACTGATATGATTCATGATTCAAGCCCAGCTTTGTGTCGGGCCAGGACTCAGTCACAGCGTAGTCACAAATCAGGATCAATGGGAACTGTAATGGCTATAAATGAATGACAATGACAGCTAATTTAGAGTAGCGAACCCTGTTTATGCTGATCAGCAACTTTGAGTGGTGCTCATTTTCCGCCATTTTCGAAATGATGCCATCTCTCATACGGGCGCAGGCAGCGACGGGGGGAGGGGGGGGGGGCGGACACAAGAGGCACGTGATCCCTTTGATCCCTCGGGATCCAGAGAGCCCCTCTGGATCGACGACCAACGGCTCGATTGGAGGGCTCGAATGACTGCAAGGCTGGCCGAAGGTTGCATTAAGGGTCTCCAGTTTGCCGGACCGGAGCCTCTGGATGTCAATCAGAGAGCCTCTGGCGGCGATCGCCGCCCCTGCGATAATGAACCCCCTTACTTCGGGCAGAAAACACCAGCATTCGGCCCTTTGTCGGACTTATCCCTTCGCGCATTTCCCAAGCCCTCTCCACTGGTTCGGGCCCTCTGAGAACGACAGGAGATCGATAGCAGTGAAGGGGTGCATGATGAGTCAAAAAGACAGCTAAAGGGCCCCTTCCTCACAGGAGGCCTTAGTACCGAACGGTAACCTTCTACCCCGTTTGCACCAATGACTCGCTGAGTGGAACTGGGGCTCTTGTGCAAATTATTGGACCAGCTCTGCCCGTAAGTGATCTTTTTGCGACATTGAGAGCCGCTGCGTCGATCCGGCGCCAGCCGCTCAGCTCAGAAGACCGCCTGTGTCGGGGAGGGAACCAGTGTACGATACCTTCCTCTGAGGCATGGGCGGGGGGGACAGGGGGCCAGGGGGCCATGCCCCCTCCCACACTTTTCAAGGTGGGGTGCCAGCAGCGTTAACTGGTCTCCGCTTTTCAGATCAAGCTTGTTTTCAGCTTACTTTCGCACTACATTAAACAGCATGCCGATTTACCTAGTCCGCCAGCCATCTTCCTCAAGATGCGTCATCTGTTTCGTTCGCTCATTGGTCGTCGCTAAATGCCACAGCCGTAGGGCCAACGTCGAGCGGCCTATGGAGACTGCAACACCAGGCATCGGTACTGCTATTCCCATGACTTGCGAGCGCGCAGGTTCAAAACAATGCTACATGTTTTTTATCCGTAATCAATTCTGACTTAATCTTGAACATTTTTAGACGAACATGGATTAGCCATGTTAATACCAAGTTGACACTTCATTTCATCTACAATCTGGGTTTAGGGAGCCCTCATATCTTTGAAGAACACAGGAAAATGAATGGAGTCCATGTGACAATTATTGAACCATTTGCAGCGATCAGGAATATTGTTGCGTCAATGAGGGTTTCTGTGCCGATCCGGGACCAACTGTGCGGGTTGGAAGGCCTCCCGTGTCAGGGAGGGGAACAATGTGATAATATGTCCCTCTAATGGGTTCCGGATCGACCAGGAGATCTCGCCCCGTGTCGCCGGAATGACAGCTAGAAGACACTTAGCGATGTTATGGAATGACCCTTCAACCCTTGACCGGCAACGGTAATGTACCTCTGGTGTTCTACTCAAGGGGCCCCTTGCCTGTAAGAAAATAGGGGTCTAAAAATTGTTGAGTAGAGTGGGAGTCTCATTGTTGAATACAGTGGTTCGAAATGGGTTAAAAAAGCATACAAGGCCAATCCATGTTTACCTGAGAACGCTTTGTAAAAGATGGATTAGTGAAACAACTTGTATCAAAAGGTTTGCACATGCCCGCCCGTAATCTCAAGAGCAAGGACAGTGATGGACTGGGTTGCAGCTTCCGTAGAACCGAACGGCGCCGTCTACTGCAAGCGCCACCAGACGGCGGGCGCCGTGTTGCGGACAGATTAGTAGTCACAGAAATACAAAAATAGAGATTCTATGCTTGCTCTTCCAATTACACCGCCAGATTTCAGCACCACTTCCAGGTGCTTAAAGGACCGATCCGTGCTTATCATCAGTCAAAAATTCCACACGAGAAATATGTGGCCAGACTGCCTTCTGATGTAAGATTTGATGTCCTCGAAC